GTGGGCACCACATGGATTAAACAAGCATCAGAAGAGAAACCATCTTGAAGCTTGCCTTTCTTTGCTGTTGCAACATAAAGGTGAACCGTTTCCGCACTGTATTGTTATGGGTGATGAAAAATGGATTCTTTTTGACAATTGCAAGCATTCAGCACAGTGGTTGGATAAATATGAAGTGCCAAAACACAGTCCAAAACCGAAAATTCATCAAAAAAAGCTAATGGTGTCTGTTTGGTGGTCCAGTGCTGGTATTACCTCCTATACCTTCATGAAACCTGGTCAGTCGATTACATTGGATGTCTACTGCAACCAACTGGATGAAGTGATGAGGATGCTGACAATGAAGCAGGCAAGATTGGTCCATAGAGACAGGCCAGACCTCTTACAAGACAACATGTCACAAACAACGCTGCTCAAACTATAGAGAGCTGGACTTGGAAATTCTCTTTCATCCACCATATTCACCAGACATTGTACCAACTTCTTCCAGGCTTTGGACCAGCTCTTGCAAGGAAAAACATTCAATTCTCAGTAAGCTGTGGAAAGCACATTTTGTGATTTCATCACCACTTGCTCTCCAGACTTCTTGGCTGCTGGCATAAACAAGCTACCATAGGCCGGGCATGGTGGCTCACGCCTGTAATCCTAGCACTCTGGGAGGCCAAGGCAGGCAGATTGCTCAAGGTCAGGAATTAAAAACCAGCCTGAGGAAGAGCAAGACCCCGTCTCTACTAAAAATAGAAGGAAATTAGTTGACCAACTAAAAATATATATACAAAAAATTAACTGGGCGCAGCGGTGCATGCCTGTAGTCCCAGCTACTCGGGAGGCTGAGGCAGGAGGATTGCTTGAGCCCAGGAGATTGAGGTTGCTGTGAGCTAGGCTGATGCCATGGCACTCACTCTAGCCTGGGCAACAAAGCAAGACTCTGTCTTAAAAAAAAAAAAACAAAAAAACAAAAAAACAAGCTACCATAAAGATGGCAAAAGTGTCAATAGTTTGCATACTTTGATTAATTGTACTGCTTCTTGTCCAATTCAAAATCAGACATTTCATATCTAATGACCTAATACAATGTTAATGTAGCAAAACATACATATACATAATGCAAATGGCACTATTCACAGTCAAGAAATATAAATAACATAAAAATACAGTATTAAATCATAATTACATAAAAGTAACTTTAGGACATACTATACTATGGTAATACTTAATAATTTCATAGCCACCTCCTATTGCTATTGCAGTGAGCTTAAGTGTTTCAAGTATCAACTTAAAATGCCATGTGATGCTAATCATTTCTGCATGAGCAGTTCATCCCTCCAGTAAATTGTATATCAAAGTAAAAAGTGATCTCTCAATTTTCGTGTATTTTTCATCATGTTTAGTGCAATACCATAAACCTTGAATAACACCATGGACCCATACAAAGTGCCACTGTGATGCTGGAAGTGCTCTCAAATAGCAAAGTCATGACATTACAAGAAATAGTTGAATTGCTTGATAGGTACCACAGTCTGAGGTCTGCAGCTACGGTTGCCTGCCATTTCAGACAGATGATTCATTTTGTAAGCAGATGATGTAAACTTATCGATAAATACAGTACAGTACTGTAAATGTATTTTCTCTTCTCTATGATTTTCTTAATAACATTTTCTTTTCTTTAGCTTACTTTATGGTAAGAATACAGTATATAACACATGTAACATACAAAATATGTTAATTTACTATGTATGTTATTGGTAAGGCTTCCAGTCACTGGTAGGCTGTTAGTAGTGAAGTTGGGGGGAGTCAAAAGTTACATGTGGAGATTTTCAACTGCATGGAGTGGGGGGATCAATGGCCCTAATATCCCTGCTGTTCAAGGGTCAACTGTGTGTGTTTATACACACACACACACACACACACACACACACACATATTTACATGTATGGCATCTAAAGTATATGCTACTTCCTGTTCATCAGACCAGGTTACACAACTTCACCAGTGTAGTGGCCAGTGTGATGTGTATAATGTCAAAATCTAGATTTAGACTGCGGCACATAACGAAAAGGTTGACCCCCCTGAATGAAGACTGTGCCGTGTATGGTTAGCTCTGCCTGGTAAGGGCAAAGCTAGGACAGCCTCCTCCATGACGGCATCCTGTCATTCCAGTTCCTGTGAGAGAGCCTTGCTCCGCAATGGCATCCGCACACTATTCACCAGCTCGGAGCTGCTTAACCCTACTCATTGACACGTTTCTTATTTCTTTGACAAATAGAGTCTTTGGGCCCTTCTAAAGAGCCCAAAGTAGGAAGTAGGCTGAAAGGCTCCTCAATTCCAAACTCAGTTTTCTTACCAAAAAAAAAAAAAAAGACTCAGAAGGTGATATAGAACCCAGAGGGTGGAGCCAAGAGCTTTAACACATTTTTAGGAAGCAATACTGGGGGGCATGTGCCCATCTGAATTTCAGAATTGCTATGGACCAATGAGTGCATGACTTACCACTTTTTGAATGGGAATGTCTATCACAGCCACCCTATGGCTCTCCCACCACTGTATGACTGGAGTCAGCGTGGCAGGCAACTTGCCTTTAAAGGTGCTCAGATGAAAAGGACCGTATACCTGAGGAACCTCATATGCACCTGGTGCAGATTTAGATGATGAGATCCTGGATCTCAAGCCTAGGTCTGATGCTGTAATGGGATGAGACTGTGCAGGGATTCCTGGGAGATGACTTTTGTATGTGGGAGGATATAGTTTATTTATGGCCAGATATCAAACTGTGGCAATTTTAAAACATGGCCCCAAAATTCTTTTACATGACACTCCTTCCTTAGGATGGTGAGAAGTCATGTCCTATTTATTACTTCTATTACCTACACTCCTAGCCCCTGTCCTTTGCAAGATGTGGTTCTTCAATGTTTTCTTCAATTTCTGTCCAATGCATTTCTCTTTTGCTAAACTGTAGCCAGAGACCATATTTTTGTTACATAAAACCAAATACAACCAGGAACTTTAAATCCTGTTTGAAGTCCCCTAGAAAGTCCATTGCCTCCCAAGCTAGGTCCCCCCAGATTTGGGGGAAGTCCCAATCTGGTTTTTACCCTAGTGAACTAAATTGGATTCAGTTATCTGTGTTCTCTGCAAATTCTATTAATAAATCCTAGCTTCTACAGAGATGTCTCTACGCAAACTGGCTCAGGTAGTAGGACAGATCTGGAGCCAGGCTACATGAGAATCACTTGAGGAATTCTTCCAGCAATGTGGATAGCCTCATCCACCAACTGAATCAGAGCCTCTGAGCACAGGGCCTCAGCAAGTGGTGTGCTACCTGCGCAGGTTGAAAACCTGGTCTTGACACTGACCATCAAAGTCAGAATACATACTTGCTTCTATCATTTCCCTGACTTTCATGATAAAGATCTACAACTGTCAATTTGGTTATTCATTATTTTACATGTTAGGTGATCCTCCTATAAGCTTGTTTGGAAGCAATAACAAGATTGCTTGATGCTGTTTTTATTTAATAGTTATAATAAAGGAAAAGATCCATAAGCACCTTGCATTAGCAGTTGTTTAACAGGAACAAAGACTAGTCATGATCCTGCTTAAACTAATTTATTAAAATGTCTCTTTCTAAGTAACAAGATAATCTCCACACCATCTTGCTTGGCCACAATTATTGGCTCTCAGCTAATTGGGTCTTAACAAATTGTATTAAACAGAAAATCCCAACTTTAGATTTCTATCCAAGTTGTAAAAATAACTCTTCAAGAAAAAAAAAAAAAGAGGCCGAGTGTGGTGGCTCATGCCTATAATCTTAGCACTCTGGGAGGTCAAAGTGGGAAGATTGCTTGAGGTCAAGAGCTCAAGACTAGCCTAAGCAAGAGCAAGACCCTGTCTCTTCCAAAAACAGAAAAATTAGCTAGGTATCATGGCACACACCTGTAGTCCTGGCTATAGGGAGGCTGAGGCAGAGGACAGCTTGAACCCAGGAGTCTGAGGTTGCTGTGAGCTATGATGACATCACTGCACTCTACCCAGGGCAATAGGGTGAAACTCTGTCTCAAAAAAAAAACAAGATATAAAATGTGTGAGAGCCGGCACTGGGGCACTCTCCTTTGGCCCCACCCAAGTTCCCACCTGTGGGTCTCAACCAAGTGCTCCACCTGGCAGGGTGTGCAGCCTTGAGGTTGCACTGGATCTCACGTCACTGACAGGGCTACCTGACGCTGGCCTCTGCTGGATCTTGCTCCCTACTTTAAAGAAAACACACACACCTTCACGTCCTGGGCTGCATTCTGGTTACTAATCATGCCTGACTTTTCCCTGCACAAACATCATGGCCTGATGTAATGTTCCTAATCCCAGATTCTGCTTTCTCTTTCTCTCCCTGTTACCATTTAGTGCATGAGGACCTACTATGTGCCAGGCACTGTAATAGGTGTTTCATAAACATTACTATTATCCATAACCTACAAGACAGATATTCCCACCTCACAGTTGAAAAAATAATAAGTATCCCTTCTCCAAAGTGCTTGGGACCAAAAATGTTTTGGATTTTGCCTTTTTTTCATATTTTGAAATATTTGCATTATACTCTGAAATTCAAAATGCTACAATGAGCATTTCCTTTGAACATTATATCAGTGATCAAAAAGTTTGGGATTTGGGAGCATTTAGAATTTCAGATTTTTGGATTTGGGATACTCAACCTGTACTACTGAAGGTCCTGTGGCCAGTAAGTGGCAGGATGTGATCTGAACTAGACAAAAGTGGTGACTAAATCAGGTCATTTCTAGAAGTCACTTTACAGAGAAAAGAGTCAACATAAGGCACATTCTATGATATTTGGATTTAATGTGAACATATTTGCATTTGAAAGTAGAAATACTGTCATTAGGAGGTCTTTGAAGAGCAGAGTAGCCTTTATTATTTCTATAGTTAACTCAAAGTGCTAACAGCTAAAAACGGAAGCTATTCCAAAGTTTGTATGAACAAAACCCACAAAGAGTTATAAAAATATTTATTTAAATGGTACAGAAAAATTATGCATACATAAAAATGATTAAAAGTTCATGTTAGAAAATGCTAAAAACTCAATAATTTATACAATGATAAAATATAAAGTGATGGGAAAACATAAAATACTTTTGTTTGGTCTTCTCACCCAACAAGACTATTATAAAAATAAGATATATAGTAATTACTGAAGCTGGGTTAAAGGTACATGACAACATAATTCCTTTACACATACTCAGTCATCCTAAACAATGAACTGCTACCCTTTATATGGAAGAGTGAACAATTTATTTAGCATATTGTGAATGCATTATGTCCCTATAATGAAACCACTACCTTCCCCAAGGATTCAAACAGATTAATGTTGCAAAATAGTTATTTCTATGTAACACAGACTTCTGAAAAATTCAATAATCATTTGAGTTTAAGAACATCCAAATGAATTATAATTTATTCTGATTTCAACAACAGATCTACAAAGTCACAATTTTTCCCAGGAAACCCCTCACTTCCCAGGTGCAAAAATGCATTGCAGCCTTTCCATTAACTGTCTGTGATGCTTTCAGCTAGGCAGATGTTTAATCATTTGCTTTAAATTTACACGTCCAACTAGGCACACTGGCACACCGACTGCGGTCTCTCCCAGCTACTCGGGAGACTGAGGAAAGAGTTCAAGGCCAGCCTGGGCAACACAGCAAGAGCACCATCTGTAAAAAAAATAAAAAATAAAAAAAAATTATGTGTCCTTAAATCTGAAAGAAAAACAGCACTTATGTCTCAAGTAAAACATTTTATCTTAAGCTACTGAATTTAACATTAAAAAGCACAGTTCAATCTGTCTGTGACCTACACCACCATCTGGCTGTCAACTGCCAATTATAAATTCAGGTCAGCAATAAGTCAAAAGCTCTCAAACATCTGTGAAAATGCAAAACTGAACAGCTAAAAACAATTTAAAAACATCAGAAGGGGAGCGGTGGGTGAGAGGGTCAGATGAGAAAATGTTCAGAGATGTGAAATTACTCAGGAGCCCTGAGCTGCTGGGGGCAACACACACGCACAGGGACAGAGCATCTACCGAGGGCCGGTGGCCCTAGACAGCATGGTGCACGGAGGGTACTGCAGGCATCAGCATGGGCACAGAGCTGCTAGCAACTCTTTTCAGACTGGCAACAGTGAGATTATGTCCATTTCTTCTTTATACAGTTACAGTGACTGTCCTTTAAAATCCCATAAGGAATACATGCTGTTTATCAGTCAGTTTTCATTAATTTCCTGAGAATTTTATTAACTTTTACTTCTCTGGGCCTCAGTTCCCAAATCTGTAAATTGCTGTATAAAGTAAATTTCCTCAAAGTTCTGATGTCAGTGACATGAAGGGAGAGACTACCTTTGTCTTTTTCATCTTGCCCCTAAGTACACAGAGTGAGTATCCTCAATACACACTTGTGTAATGGCAGCAGGCTAAGGGTTGGGTGGTCTGTGGGGAGGCAGAAATTCTATAAATAATACCAAAAAAAAGTTGATGTGTCATCCATCAAATTGTTATGAGGTAGCCAGGACAGTTAGAAGATGGCAGAATTTTTTTTTCCCAATTAGGTAAAATTGCCCATCCTTTCTGTGTTCCCATTCCTTAAGAAAAATATAGCCAAGACTCACTGGATATAAACTGATGGATGCTGACTTCAATACAAAATGGTCTAATGTGTTTTTTTAACCATGCTGGAAGGTACAAATCCTGTCTTTCTGAGGTCTTTGAAAGGCAGGATGCTATCTCTAAAAAGTAGTCACTTAGAACTAAATTTTACAAAAGACACAGGTCTCAGTCCCCTTTTATCTTAGAGTGCAATGGATGAACAGCTCTGGTATAAACATAACTAAAATAATTTACAAGTCATCTGTTACAGCTGTGTCCAACTGAAAATCATCATGAAAGATATTTTCCAAATAAGTTCATTATGAGAAACACTATTCCTGATCTCTTACCTTCAGATCATCCAAGGAGTGAGATAAACATTACAACCCCCATAAATTGAGTAAACAACAGCAATGGAGTAAAAAATGACCACACATGCCATAAAGCAATGTTGAAGCTGAAAAGAATGAAAAACAAACAGTTGACAACTGTAACTGTAATATACACAAATATTCTAGAATCTAGATTTAAAGAACTCAATTTGGGAAAATTCATGCAAGCAGCAACTTTCCATATACATTGTATTTCTCACATGTGTGATTTAGCCAATGTTAGAAAGAAAAGCTCTGGATATACTTATGGAACTGTTATAATTTCTTTAAAAAGTACTTGGAATTGGAAACACTAAAGATTTCTAATGGGAGTTGATATGGCTTAACAGAAGCTTAAGTCTCTTAAAGTTATTGTCTATAATAAAATATGAATTTAAATGGCTATACCTGCTTTTATGATCTCACATACTAAGCTATCATGGTAAAAAAGACAAACGTATTTCTCTGAAAAACAGAATGAAAAAAGTAATTGTTGGCCGGGCGCGGTGGCTCATGCCTGTAATCCTAGCACTCTGGGAGGCCAAGGCGGGTGGATTGCTCGAGGTCAGGAGTTCAAAACCAGCCTGAGCAAGAGCGAGACCCCGTCTATACTATAAATAGAAAGAAATTAATTGGACAACTGATATATATAGAAAAAAAAATTAGCTGGGCATGGTGGCGCGTGCCTGTAGTCCCAGCTACTCAGGAGGCTGAGGCAGTAAGATTGCTTGAGCCCAGGAGTTTGAGGTTGCTGTGAGCTAGGCTGATGCCATGGCACTCACTCTAGCCTGGGCAACAAAGTGAGACTCTGTCTCAGAAAAAAAAAAAAAAGTAATTGTTTATAAGCTTAAATTTTTCATTGAGAAATAAATTATTCCTATCACTAAAGTAAAAAATAAAACACTAAGTACAAATGATTTTAAATGACTGAAGCTATAAGCACAGAATAGGGATAATTTAGTATGTTAACTTTTATTTCTCTCAGCCTCAGTTTCCTTATCTGTCAACTGCTCTTAGTTTCCTCCAAGTTCTAGAGTGAGTGACAAGGAGGGAGACACTGTTTTTTTTACCCTGTCCCTCAGCACACAGACTATAGTCAATTAATTTTCACAGAGAGTTATTGGTTTTAATATATAATATTTTGACAAGTATGAATTTTAATCTATAACTATAATCCTATAACTATAATATAATATAATATAATATAATAACTATAATCCTACTGGTCTAAAAAATTAACATTTCTGGGGTTATCTTAGCCTTATGGGGAAAAGTAAAATAACACATCTGTATACCCACTTCACTGAATGATTAATAAAAACCACATCACAATGTCAAATATCCTTGAACTTCAACTATAGAAAATAAGTCACAGAAAGCAAACATTTAAACTGAATATGTATACAGGTATGTGATATTTCCAAAGTCAAAATTCAATTAACTTAAATAAAGAAAAACTGAAAAGCTATACACAATATTTGAAGAGTAACTTTTTCTGATTGACAGGATCATCGAACATGTTTCCTTTGTATTTTTCTGTAATTTACAGATTTTTCTTTAGTGAGCTAATATTGCTTTTATAAATATTGCTTTTATAATACTTTTATAAATAGAAAAACTGTTTTTTTCATTGCGTACCTATTAAATTATGCAGAAAGATATTTATCGTGGCATTGTTTCAGTATAAAAATAACTAACAACAGAGAACTTGCTAAATAAGAACTTGCTAAATAAATCTTCACGTTGTGAAGATTATGTAACTGTTTAAAATAATGAGACACATCTCTATGTACTGTTTGGAAGAACTCTAAACTAATATGGCTCCACTGAAAAAGAAAAGGAAAAAAAAGATGAACAACCACTTTGGAGATCAGTTTGGCACTATTTACTGAAGATGGAGATACACACACACCCTATGACCCAACAATTTCACCGTGTGTGTGTGTGTGTGTGTGTGTGTCTGTGTGTCTGTGTGTGTGTGGGTCTGTATACATATACATATATATAGATACACATACACATATATATACATATATCCAACAGAAACATGTACACGTTCTGCAAAAGACATGTACAAGAATGTTCTTAATAGCATCCTTCATATTAATAACCCAAACTGGAAACAACTCAAATGCAATCAACAGTGGAATAGATAAATTGGGATTTAGTTATACAATGGAATGCTAAATAACAATGAAAACAAATAACTGTTATGGGCAACAACAGATGAATCCTACATCATGTTGCACATAGCAACCAAATGCAAAAGAATACATACTGTATGAATCCATTTCTATAAAGTTAAAAAAAATAGAGTATTTAAGGGATGCAAAAGCAAGTAATTACCATAAAGGTCAGAACAGTATCTCCTTATGGCAGGAAAGATGATGTAGTGATGGAAGGAGTATGAAGGGGTGACCAGGTACTGGCTTAGTTGTCTTTCTTGACGGGGGTGCAGTGGACATCAATGCTCATTTTGTGAGAATTCATTCAGCTGTACATTTTAGTTTTTTTCTACTTTTCTGCATGTATGGTACATCACAGTGAAAAGATTTAAAAGGCAAAATGCACAATATGTATAGAATGTCACCATTTGTGTTTTAAATAACTAGGTACATAAATAAAGAGATGATAATAAAAAGGGAACCAGAGAACAGGAATGACTATGAGACTCTTTTTCCTGTTACACTTTTTTTTTCTTTCAGAATTTGGACCATGTACATCATTATCTGATCAAAAAAAGAATGTGTGTTTTTCATTCCTATAAGTCTTCAAAGTTAACTTACCAAATTCCTGCTGCAATAAATGTAGCAGTTGTAATGGGTATCAACATTGGATACTTGACATCATATTCCCCAATCCCACGATACCATTCCAGATACACTATGCAGTAAAATGCAATCAGTAAACTGACAAGCAACAAGGCACCTCCAAACAGAAACCAACTGTGGAGACAAAAATAACATAGGGGTTACTTATATAACCCTTAGCAAATCAGCAGATATCTTAAACATTTCATTAACAGCTTACATATCAACGTCTAAGAAGAATATCAACTGAAGAAGGGGTACAGAGGGAAATTCAATTACAGTAACAGCTTATAGTAAGCCTCTATTTATGGGAGATTGGGGTGAGAAAAGACAACACATGGCTCATCAAAGGATTAAAGAGTAAGACTTTGAAGAATACTTTCATAAACCAGCCAACCAAGAAAGAACCCTGGGCCAGGAGCAGGGGCTCACGCCTGTAATCCTAGCACTCTAGGAGGCCAAGGTGGGAGGATGGCTTGAGCTCAGGGGTTCGAGACCAGCCTGAGCAAAAGCAAGACCCCGTCTCTACTAAAAATTGAAAAATTAGCTGGGGATGGTGACTCGCACCTGTAGTCCCAGCTACTCAGGAGGCTGACAGATGAAGATTGCTTGAGCCTAGGAGTTTGAGGTTGCTGTGAGCTAGGCTGATACCACTGCACTCCAGCCCAGGCAACAAAGTGAGACTCTGTCCAGAAAACACAAAGAAGGAACCCTGGTTACAGCTATGCATTTTCTTTAAAACTACAGGAAAGATAGAAGCTTTCTGGTTGTTTCTGAGTATGAGAGTAATAAAGAACATTCTTATCAAGTACCATTAACTCCTCCAAGTTAAGCAGAATTTCTTGGAATACTGAAAATCAATTTGAAAGATAGTTAATTCAAATTCTCTCTCATGAAAGATATCTACATGAAACTCTCCCATTTTCAGAATCTTTCTTACCCTCCCCCCAAAGGACAATGCCTTTTTGTTCCTCTTCAATTCCAACCATGACCTGACTCAGTGTGCATGAGGCATCCTCCTCTAGCTTTGCATGGATGTAAGGAACCCTAATGCCTCAAGCTTCTGAAATGAGGCTAATGCAGGGAAAAAAGAAATTACTCAGGTATCTGAGGAATGAGCTGTTTTCAAAAAGCAGAAAGCCTGCATTTCCTTCTGTTCACCCCTCTCCTTCCACAGCTGCTCAAACTACCCCCTGCTTAATGAGTCCCTCGCCAAGAATACAAATTGGCTTTGATTACGCAATTATGTTTTTTTTTCTCTAAGACAATACTTTTTCAAGGATAGGCCTATGATTCGACTTCCTTCCCATCCCCCACAGCCCTGGTCCCAGCACCTGTGAGTGTAATTGCATTTCCCTCTGTACCCCTTCTCCCTGGAGCCCAATATTCCCCCTTCCTCCCCAGTACCCCTGCACTTTGTCTCTGCCACATGACAGCTGTGGTCCTGGACATGCCACTTCCTACCGTAGCCGCCCCAAACATCTTATACATGTGATCATTTCTTTAAACTACTGAGAATACCTAATATAGGACACAAATAGAAAAATTTCTCCTATTTCTTCTTAAACCTCAAAAAGGTCTCCACTCCTGAGGTTGAACTGGACTAGGTACCCCTCCTATGTTCTCCTGTAACATCCTGCGCCTTTGCTTACAGAGCACCCACCATGAGGCCTGGTAACTTTGCTGTGGCCTAGAAGGAGCTGTTAGAAGGCTGGAAATGTACCTACTTATCACTGGCACCCATAGCCATAGCCACATCTCATGCTCTCACAAAATACTTGATGAATGAGAGAAAAACTGATGGCAGTGCTATTTGAAGGACACATCCTCTCTCTTCCCAGCCCGACTGAGAGAAATGGAGTCACACTGATGAAGAGCAAATGTCAGCTTTATTACTGACATAGCTGTGGGAAGTGGTGACAAAGTGCTTCCTAACACTGAAACCCAGAAATAGACACTTAGCCACTGGGTTCCAAGTCACAGTGAAGACTGAGACCTTCTCCTGTTGGAGCTGCCCCCATAAAATGATAGCACAGCAAAGCACACCAGAATCTGTGCTTGCCTTGGGCAGCTCACTCTCAAAGGAAGAAGGTGCTGAGCTACGTATGTCCAGTTCCTCATCTCACACTCAGGTGAACCACACCACCTCCCAGGGAAAAAGTGAGTGAGATGAAAGGGAAGAAGATGGGAGTGTTTAGGGACAGTTCCTACTCACAGAAATCAGAAAGGACAAGCTTTCTACCCTCAACAGTTTAAATAAACACCCTCTGCCTACTTTGCCGACTGCTCGCTTGCTCCAGCTCCTCAGTATCCCCCTCCAGGAGTCAGGGCTCCTCCCAAAGGCCTAGAGGAGAAACTGTGTGTCTTGCCATGATACCAGAGGACCACAGTCCCGCCTACATCTTGCTAGCCCCTCTGGCACTTTCAAATTACTACTCTTGACCCCAAGAAAACCAGTCCTCTCCACGCCAGCTCTGACGCTCACCAACATCCCTCCTTGTCGTCAATTATCTGGGTCTCCACATGCCTGTCCAATGTGCAGTGAGGACACAGGGACATGATTCACAACCTTCTCCACGTCACCTCAAGATCATACTGAAGACATCTCCGTCCCCGTGAATCAGGAACTATTTTATATCGGCCTGGCCACAAAGTTCTGACTCCTCCCCCTGGTGACCTTTACCTCATCTAATTCAGTCACACCCTATAGTCACATGCGTGCTGGAACTACTCTCTGAAGCAAACCCTGGGGCCCGATTTTCATGGGCAACGAGCCACTATTCTTACTCCCTCCCCAGTACTTCTGCACTTCGTCTTCATAAAGACCTCAGTCAGTCTTTCTCCCTCCATCGTGTTCCAAATAGATCAGGTCCTTCTTAAATTCACTAACTTCCTCATCCTACAACACATCTGTGCTGAAAAGGCACAGTGAAATTTTCAGTTCTCATGCACTCTGCTGTGCACTCCCAGAGCACACACACCCTTGTCGCTTTTTCCGACTTGACTGAGGTATAACTGACAAGTTAAAATTGTATATATTCAAGGTGTACAATGAGATGACTTCATATAAGTATACATTATGAAATGACTATCATGATCAATTAACACATCCATCAGCTCATAGATACCACTGGTTTTTTGTATGAGTTTGTGCATGTATAGCAATGACACTTAAGATCTACTCTCTTAGCAAATTTCAAGTATACAATACAGCATTATTAGCTATAGTCATCATGCTGTATATGAGATTCACCAAAACTTATTCATTTCTTTTTTTTTTTTTGAGAACAGAAGTCTCACTTTGTTGCCTAGGCTAGAGTGAGTGCCGTGGCGTCAGCCTAGCTCACAGCAACCTCAGACTCCTGGGCTCAAGCGATCCTTCTGTCTCAGCCTCCCAAGTAGCTGGGACTACAGGCATGCGCCACCATGCCCGGCTAATTTTTTTTCTATATATATTAGTTGGCCAATTAGTTTCTTTCTATTTATAGTAGAGACGGGGTCTCGCTCTTGCTCAGGCTGGTTTTGAACTCCCGACCTCGAGCAATCCGCCCGCCTCGGCCTCCCAGAGAGCTAGGATTACAGGCGTGAGCCACCGCGCCCAGCCCCATTTCTTTTTTTTTTAAAGAGCCAGGCTCTCACTCTGTCACCCAGGCTAGAGTGCAGTGGCATGATCAGAAGTCACTGCAGCCTCAAATTTCTTGGCTTAATCTATCCTCTTGCTTCAGCCTCCTAAATAGCTGGAACTACAGGTGTGCACCACCATGCCCAGCTAATTTAAAAAAAAATTTTGTAGACACAGGGTTTCACTAATATTGCCCAGGCTGGTCTCAAACTCTTGGCATCAAGCAATCCTCCCATTTTTGCTACCAAAGTGCTGGGATTACAGGCGTGAGACACCATGCCCATTCCTATTCATCTTGTAAATGAAAATTTATACCCTTTGACCAATGTCTCTCATTCATCTGTGAATCACCAGCACCTCCAACATGGGAGGTATTGACAGAGTAGGTGCTTACTAAGCGTTTGAAGAATTCAGCTGACAAAATATAAAATGAAAAATAAGGGTTTAACTTATAAAGCAATAAAGTTTTCTCACCTACTAGTGTGAAAGTTTTCTTTAAGGATTTTAAAGAAATCAACATAATAGGTCAGAGCAATGGATGCCAAAATCCAGAATCCACAATGGATATTAAGTCTTGGAAGAGCTTTCTGCTTTTTCTCAACAGCTGTAGAGGTTTCTGCAAAGAAGTGAGATTTCAACTTGTAAGGAAAACTTACACTTGTTTTAAGCCAAATAAAATCATTTCCTAGAGTGAGGCTCTCCCTTTATAGCACCAAATCCTTCTGTAAAACCATCAAGATAGGTTTATATTTACAGAAACAATAGTAGCCCACTACAAAATGTTCAATATAGTCAACTTATTGCCTCTAAATGAATTGTGAAATCAAATTTACATTTTCTTAGTCTTTCAGAAATAATGCTGCCACCTGGAAGTGTGGGAATTTTATGTTTCACACTTCTTCTAGGAAAGTAATTAGCCCTGTTAATTAATAAAAATGTCAAAGGCAAACGTTAGAGCATGAAATGGACTCGTGCTCTTTCAAGAACACTTTTTATAACTAAATAGTTTAGTTATTTTAAACAAACATAACCTTTTGAGGCAGCTGAAAGTGCAAAGGGCACTCTAGAGCTCTACTCCCAGCACAGCACTGTCTTGACAGGTGACAGACAAGTCATTTCTCCTATCTGGGACCCAATCTGAAAGAGTAGATGGATAGGGGTTGGGTCAGATGGGTGATTTCCTACAAGTTCCCCAAGTGACTCTGACATGCTAAGTTCATGTGAGAACCACTGGTCTACATTTGGGGTTCTGGGCCTTTAGATGACCACCAGAAACCCTGGGGAGCTTATTCATAATGTAGATTCAGAGAAATATCCTCAAAATTTGTAAATCACACCTGGGATTACAGGCGTGAGATGGGCATGATGTTGTGTTTATTTTGTTTACAACATACAGAATAAAAAAGATCTAAAATATCTCCCTCCCATCCTTAACCCCAGTTTCAATGTCCAGAGGAATTCTTCCATCCACAGGTGAACACACACCACAGAGGTTATGCTTTGTACTCGAATGCTGGCATACCATACGCTGTCCTGAGCCTCCCTTTGGCAATCATCCCCACTGGGACATAATAGTCTGTCCAGCTTGTCATGTATAGATATAGACACGCTTATTTAGCCAGTTTCCTGCTGGCAATCAGATATTTCCATTCATTTGCTATTACAGGCAATCCTGAGGCGAAACACTATGCACACGTCTTTGTGTACTGTGGTAAAATTACAGGTTTTTCCGTATTTTTTTTTTTTTTTTTTGAGACAGGGTCTCGCTCTGTCACCCAGGCTGGAGTACAGTGGCCTCATCATAGCTCACTGCAACCTGGAACTCCTGGGTTGAAGCCAGCCTCAGCCTCTGGAGTAGCTGGGACTACAGGTGTGCACCAACACACCCAGCTAACTTTTATTTTCTTTCTTTTTTTCTGGTAGAGAGGAGGTCTCCCTCTTGCTTAGGCTGGTCTCCAACTCCTGGCCTCAAGTGATCCTCCCGCCTCAGCCTCCCAGAATGCTAGGATTACAGGCGCGAGCCACCGTGCCAGGCCAAATTCTTAAACCTTAGAACCGGTCGATATATTTAATTATAATGGATATTTCCAAATAGGTGTTAAACCAGCCATCTAAGGAATCCTGAAGCGCAGCTGAGATGAAGATGCGCAGAACTACGCTATCTCTAAGGATCTTTCATGACATTAAATATCCGACTTGCAAAACTACTTGGTAAGATTTGAAAAACGAAAACTCGGTTCCTCCTGACTGAGCTAGAGCTGCGGGAGGCCCGTGAGGCCAGCCGTTTCCGGGCGCCTCGCCCCGGGGCCCTCAGCGCGGCTCGCAGTACACCAGGGAGAGCGCCTCACCCGGCCCGGCGTCGCCCTCGCTATCCAGGGGGCACTCGGCGTCCGGCAGGAGCAGGAATCGCCTCCGGAGCTGCTCCCGGGCCTGTGAAGCGTCCATGTCGGCACCGCCCCGAAACGCGACGGAAGTGGCGTCTGACACGCAGCGCTTCCGGCGTCGGCTCCGGGGCCGGGGTCTCCGGGCGTCGGGGATGGAGACTACAGTTGCCTTCTCGGTTTTAGTAGGCAGTAAACTGGGGTGGAGTTGGCGCTGTGGGTTCTGCACTCGACTCCGCAGGCCTGGTTTGAATTTTAAAATACTGAATTTTCCCGGTCGACAGTTTTCCCAAGTTTATTCCGAGCTACGGAAGCCCAGCAGGACCAGGATTACTGCCGCCGCCACAGGCGTGCAGGACAGGGATGCGCGGCCGAGCTGCCCCGCTTCCAGAGCCCTCCCAGGCTCCCGGTGCCAAAGCATAAGAAATACTCTGCACCCAGCCCTCGACTCTCGGCCTCCAGCTTCGTTCCTACTCCCGCTTTTCGAGAGTCGCGCAGCCAGACTCAGCAGGGTTGAAGGCAGCCCCAGGAGGAGAAAAGGACCGCTGGACAGAAGACCGCTTGGGCGTGAAATAAACCGGTCGGGTGTTTCCTCTTGAGCAGCAGGGATTATACGTGTCTCAAGATTGGTTGTGGGGTTAAGTGAGGACACCCGCATGTGGTTCATGTGAGCCCCCTTCTCTCCACTTGTGAAAAACTGCCCCAGCCTGGACCATGGGAGCTAAATTACTTTCCTCGCAAACTGCCATTGCCCACCGCTCACGCCCATAAACCATCTGTCGCTAGTTCACAGCTTTTCTTCCATCAATAATCCTGTTTATTACTTTCCCACCTCTTCTCTGCCTAGTCATGTGCTGAGAAATGCTGTGCTTACCCACTCAAACGTTCGTTCACTGAGCACTTACTATTTACCTGAAGCTGTCAGGCGCCATGCTAGGCAGTGGCGTTGCACTTGAGGCACTCCTAGTCCCCAAATGACCAGAGACAAAATGACAAGACAGTGCAGTTTTTATAGGTGTATGGAAGTGTTTCCTTAATTCAGCTAAGAAACATTTTCTGAGCTGCTACATGCAGTAAAATGACGAGGACAGAGCTAGGTAAGAATCTAGTGGAGAGGGCAGCTTCAACACAACACGGTAATAGAAATACTGTACGGTGGGCCTATGGGAGTACCGCATAAAGGACAGTTTATTCTGTTGGGGTGTCTGGGGAAACAGGGAGAATGGTTTCTGGTTGGTAGAATAGAGGGCAGCATAGCCCAGAAAACCACACAGGAAGTAAAATTTGAATTAGTAGGCACTCTTTAAAATCTTCTATATGTCATGGGTATTTGTAAAAGGAATGTAGAGAGGTATTCAAGAGTGTCAAGTTTCTGCTGATTTATTTCTGCCATTTCTTCAGCCTTTCTATACCCTTTGGAGCAAAGAATTTTACAGCTGGGTGGATCATATAGCTTTTCTAAACAATGTCTCCCTTTTCCTGTTTTTTTTTTTTTTTTTTTTTTTACAGACCCCCAAATAACTGGGATCCATTTCTTAAAAGCCAACTGGGGTCTTTGGCCCTCCCTCCTTCTCTTTCATACCAAGTTAGAAGCCTTATTAACAGGAATTTAATTCGTCCCATCAAACACAGTCTTCTGTTGATTGTGTCCTCAAAAATGGGTCAGTGCAGGGTCTCCCTTGTAACTGAATATTCCCAAGAGCACTGCAGCAATTCCGGGGTTTCCATGTGTGGTATGCTCAGGTTGGATCAGGTTTTCCCTTTGGTGGTTTCAGGGCCTTTGTATTTATTTGGATCTGAACTCTTTCCAGCATTTTTTTTTCTCTGATATTTTAAATGGCACTACTTGTACACCAGGCTGTTGATACTTAAAAGCATGTTGGAAAAATTCCAGTCTTTAATGACCACATCTTCATTGCTGGGGTCCATTAAATAAGTTCTTCAGTGTGCACCATGGTGTCTTAATTATAGATATATGATATCAGATTGCTACCAATGAAGACATTTTTGTTTTCAATGTGGATTACGTACAGGGAAAAAATGAATTTGACTGTGACTTTTGTTGCCCTCCTCTTAGCAGCAGCAAGGTGTTTATATAGACTAGGGATCCTCAAACTTTTTAAACAGGGGGGCAGTTCACTGTCCTTCAGACCGTTGGAGGGCTAGACTATAGTTTAAAAAAAAACTATGAACAAATTCCTGTGCACACTGAACATACCTTATTTTGAAGTAAAAAACCAAATGGGCAGGCCGGGCGCTGTGGCTCACGCCTGTAATCCTAGCTCTTGGGAGGCCGAGGCGGGCGGATTGCTCAAGGTCAGGAGTTCGAAACCAGCCTGAGCAAGAGCGAGACCCCGTCTCTACTATAAATAGAAAGAAATTAATTGGCCAACTGATATATATATATATAATTAGCCGGGCATGGTGGCGCATGCCTGTAGTCCCAGCTACCCGGGAGGCTGAGGCAGAAGGATCGCTCGAGCCCAGGAGTTTGAGGTTGCTGTGAGCTAGGCTGACGCCACGGCACTCACTCTAGCCTGGGCAACAAAGCGAGACTCTGTCTCAAAAAAAAAAAAAAAAAAAAACCAAATGGGCAAAAACACCCACATGTGGCCTGCAGGCCGTAGTTTGAGGACGCCTGATATAGACTATTGAATCCTGGCTCCATCACTGTGGGTCCTTGGGAAAGTTACTTCATTGTTCTAAGTATCAGTTTCCTCATCTGTGAAAAAGCAGATACCAGAGTGGAGATAGATGAATACAGATGCTTAGCTTAGTGCCTGGCATATACAATATGCATTCAGACAGTGGTGGTTAACCGTTCACTACTCCTTAGTTTCCACCTTCAGGATCTGGCACATGCTCAACTCAGTATTCCTTTGTCCTTGGGCTCCAGCACTCTTTGTTCATGTCTCTCTTCCAAGAAGTATAAAGCTTTATTGCAATTTTTCTTTTGCCTTTCTTTTGTGCTTTCCTCAGTTGACTTGGGGTAAACAACCATGTTTTAGTGGCTCCCTAGTGCCTTGCAAACACTGCGCACGCAGCAGGAACTGTTACCAATTCTTTGGTCCTTAATCACAGCTAATTGGTCTTCATTCAGACATACATGTGTCTGCCTAGCATCCCTTCCTCTGGGAAAACACTTTTCCTCCTTTCTGGAGTGGTCCTGCTCAGTACTCAGGATGCTAACTCTGTCCTGGGGGAGGGCACATTTACCTAAACCAGACTTCTCAGTTCTTGGGGCTTAAGCTGGGGCCACTAGGAAGATCTTCTCTGATGCTTTGAAATAGTGAGCTGTGAGGTCAATGTGGGTTTGGGGCTGCCATTCTGGAAACACACAGGGAGCCCACATAGGAAGAAAGCTCCAAGAGGCAAGCTAACATGTCTTGGTAGCACTGCTCCAACTCCGGGATGCTGCCAGACCCCAACTAACCCAGTTAAGAACCTGGGCTCTGGAGCCAGCTACCTAGCTGGCTGTCATCACTGGCTGTTTCAACTTTGGGCAAGCCTCTTATCCTCTCTTTGCCTTAGTTTCCTCACTTGCAAAATGAGGTTAAGAATAGTACGTACCTCACAGTATTGGCTAAAGATTACAAGTATTAATACATGTAAAGTGCCTACAACAGTGCCTGGCCCATAGAAAGCTCTCAATAAATCTTAACTGTTGTTATTATCTATCGTTAAGACTTCACAGATCTTTCAATTTTCCTTTTTTTTTTAGACAGTTTCATTCTGTTGCCCAGGCTAGAGTGCCATGGCGTCAGCCTAGCTCACAGCAACCTCAAACTCCTGGGCTCAAGCAATCCTTCTGCCTCAGCCTCCTGCGTAGCTGGGACTACAGGCATGCATCACCATGCCTGGCTAATTTTTTCTATATATTTTTAGTTGACCAACTAATTTCTTTGTATTTTTTTAGCTCTTGATCAGGCTGGTTTCGAACTCCTGAGCTTGAATGATCCTCCCGCCTTGGCCTCTCAGAGTGCCAGGATTACAGGCGTGAGCCACCACCTCTTTTTATAAAATTTGAGTTGTTTCCTGTTACTTGTAACCCAGAGACCAGACCAGTGTAGGCCTGTCGTTGTGCCACATAGCCACTTTCTTGGTCCCCAGCTGTTCTGTAAGTGCCTCCACAAATGAGTTAATATGTGTAAAGCTATTAGAAAAACATCTGGGTATGGAAAGTACTCGTTAATTGCTAATATATATCACTTTAAATACTTCCTTTCATTCCAAGAAGAAAGCTAATTGAAAAAAAAAGATTCTTGGCCAGGCAGGGTGGCTCACACCTGTAATCCCAGAACTTTAGGAGGCCAGGGCAGGAGGATCACTTGAGGCCAGGAGTTCGAGACCAGCCTGAGAATGAGCAAAACCCTGTCTCTACAAAAAATAGAAAAAGTAGCCAGACGTGGTGGTGCACGCCTATAGTCCAGCTATTCTGGAGGGTAAGGCAGGAGGACTGCTTGAGCTCAGGAGCTTGAGGTTGCAATGAGCTATGATGATGCCACTGTACTCTAATAGTCTGGCCAACAGAGTGAGACCCTGTCTCAACAACAACAAAAAAAAGATTCTCCCACTCAGTGTATTAAAATGCAATGAATTTGTTTCTTTTTCTACATAGCTCTGATTATTTCCCTAATAAAAAGCTATAGCATTGGGATTGCTATGTCAAAGATATGACATTTTAAAGGTTTTTGATCAATATTTTCAAACAAGCTCCAGAAAAGGTTCACTGTACTACAGTGGACCCTTGATCAACTTGAGAGTTAGTGGCATCAACCCCTTGCACAGTTGAAATCCTCATATAACTTTTGACTCTCCCAAAATTAATGGCTCACTGTTGACCAGAAGCCTTATTAATAACATAAACAATCAGTTAATACATACCTTGTATATTTATATGTATTATATACCATATTCTTACAATAAAGTAAGCTAAAGAAAAGAAAATGTTATTAATAAAATCATAAGGAAGAGAAAATATATTTACTATTCATTAAGTGGAAGTGGATCATCATAAAGGCCTTCATCCTCAGTGTCTTCACACTGAGTGAGCAGGAGGAAGAGGAAGGGCTGGTCTTGCTGTTTCTGGTGGCAGAGGCGGTCTGCCTATGAGCGGACCACACATGGAAACTCTAGTTGTCGTGATCAACTGCACTTCATGTTCCCGCCAGCAGCTGTCTTCAACTTTTGCACCAACAATGGGCTGTATCATTTTGATAAATTTTTCCCAATTAATAGTTGGGGTGGGGAAATCTGACATTTTAATTTGCTTTTCATTGGCAAATGATTTTTTTTCACATGTTAATTGGCTATGTGTATATCCTTTTTTCCTTTTGGGATTTTCATTTTTGCTTGTTTTGATAGATCAATAATATCTTTGAAAATCAGATATGTTCGAAGTATACTTTTTTCTAGTTTATTATTTATCTTTTAAGTTTGATCATGTTCCTACCTATGTTTTGGTTTTTGAGACAGAGTCTCACTCTGTTGCCTGGGCTAGAGTGCCATGGCATCAGCCTAGCTCACAGCAACCTCAAACTCCTGTGTGTTAAACTCAGTGTATTAAAATGCAATGAATTTGTTTCTTTTTCTACATAGCTCTGATTATTTCCCTAATAAAAAGCTATAGCATTGGGATTGCTATGTCAAAGATATGAACATTTTAATCCTTCTGCCTCAGCTGCCTGACTAGCTGGGACTACAGGCATGTGCCACCATGCCCAGCTAATTTTTTCTACATATTTTTAGTTGTCCAGCTAATTTCTATTTTTAGTAGAGACGGGGTCTCACAAGAGCAGAGTTTCGAACTCCTGACCTTGAACTATCCTCCCACCTTGGCTTCCCAGAGTGCTAGGATTACAGGCATGAGCCACCGTGCCCAGCCCTGTTTTGTTTTTTTAACTTCTTATAGCCTTTGATGAAGAGTTTGAACTTGCCCCACAGGGTCAAAGTGGAAAAAAAGTCCTGGTTGAAATACTCAATGTTAGTGTAT